GATTGTAATATTGTACGATGTTTTCTTTATTAATGAAATAAATTTGGGTGTGAGATGTTTTATATTTTGGGGTGTTACAGCTGGAAGGGTGGAAGAAAGACGACGACGTTCAACGTTGTCCGACGGCACTCTGGCGGGCACTCTGTCGGAGCTCTCTCTCTCGAACTCTCTTTCTAGGTTCGACTCTCTCTCTCAAGCTTCTCTTCTCTCTCTACGAATGTCCCAAATTAAAAATCTGAAAAGTGAAATTTGAATCACCAAACTTGAAACCCCTTCTGCACTCCCTTTCCACGTCATTTAAAATTTTCAATTCAATTTTCTACTTGGACCACTAGTATTTTGACACCTGTTCCGTATCAAAATGTTTTCAAAACTTGTTGTTCAAATATCATTTCCCTGAAATATACTATGGACATTTAAACGTGTGTGCATATTCCACTAGTAATAATAGCTAACAACCAAAACAGTATAAAGAAGTGTTTTCCTTTATATAAAATATTACATATACAAGTTATTGTCACTACATCAATCACAGTCCTCCGAACATCCAATTCAATCACTGTAATGGCGAAGGAAGAAGGTGAGTGGAGCCTCTTGCGATTTTTGTTTCTGCTAATCCATGATTTATTTGTAACTAATCAGGACGGAGTATTTCTGATACTTTTATTAATTTTCAGTTTAATGCTTCCGAGTTTCTGTTGCGATCTTTAGGTTTGGTTTTGTCTGTTTGATCTTGTTGCAGTGTTTGAGTTTCTCGGGAACGTTCCTCTGCTACAGAGGCTTCCTGGCTCGTCTGTTCGGAAGATATCTGAGCTTGTAATTCCCAAATACTATGGTAATAGAAAGTTGTTTTTGAAGTTTTAACCTCTTTTGCTGTTGAATTAGATTTTTTCTTGCGAATTAGGTGGGAAAATGTTAAAAAATATGTTCGCGTAATTGTAGTTTCATTATTATTGCTATTTGGCATGATTTTGTTTTTGTCCAGAAATTTGTAATAATAAGTTTTTGTCACCAAAATTAAATAATAAATTCATTTTAATTTTTCAGATATAAAAAAACAGTATTTTTTAACATTTGAAGGACTAAAATGATAATTTTAATTTTTAATTTGGGAACCGAAAGTTAATCTCAAATTTCAGGAACTAAATAACGTAGTTAGGTGTTGTGATTATTTATAGTATTTTGGAAGATTTATATTGTGCAGAATTTCGACAATCAATTGCAAGTGATTTTTCATTTCTGGAAGGATGCCTGATGAACTGGTATTAGCATTAATGTTTTCAATTCTTGAATGGTGAATTACTACGTAGAGCCGAGAGAGTATGTTGTTCGTGAGGGGGAACGTGGGGATGGTCTGTACTTCATCTGGGAAGGAGAGGTATGCTCATTTTTATTGTTATATTTTAGAATTGAAAGTTATGTACAAAATGGTCATTGGATCAGTTGAAGTGATGTAGATTCAGATCTAAAGATTTTGTTTATGCAATTTCAAAGTTTCAGTTATGTGCTGAATATTCAGTTTCCTGGCTTGCAGGCTGAGGTTGTTAACTCTGTTAGTGCTGATGATGATGATCATCCAGAGTTTCAATTGAAAAGATATGACTACTTTGGTTTTGGTAATAAACTTCATTCTTATGTAGATATGTTTCAAGACTGTTGCTAACACCCTCAAAGGTGTAGGCTTGTTAAGTTTAGGAGTTTGGGTCATCATGATTTTGTTATTCTTAATTGTATCGGTTAGATATTCTGGAAAATATCTTGTCATATTTTTATTGTATCTTTTAGACAATTTAGAGCATCTTAGATGTACTAGTAGTGATTTCTTGATTTTGTTTCATTTCCTTATTTAATTTGGATTAAAGTTCAGTAATAGTACATATAAGGTTTAGTGGTTCAAAATTTAACACATCTTTATGTGCAAGAATATTCGTAAATCACCTTTCTATTAATGAAAGACTATTTTTCTCCTCTACCTGAACTATTTAATTTTAACTTGGTGGGCTATGACTCAGTCGTCAAGAGTTCTAACCGTGCCACTTCCATTCCTTGACTGGTATCCATTAGTAATACACTTTTATCCACAATCAAAAGAATAATTCCACTTCCATTGTCTCTGCAATTGTATTCTTTGGATGCCTTTGTGGTGTTTGTTTTCTCTGGGTTCTACCCTTTCCTGGATGTCTGTTCTTCGAACATTCTTATGTTGTTTGGTTACCTTTTTAAATCATGATCTTTGCTCTATTCCCTTTCTGATTTGTTGGTTTTCCAATTCTGACAGTATGGAGAAAAGAGTGAAACTGATAAAATTGTCTTTGATAATTCTGACAAACCTTTCTATTGATTAGTATGCCTTCCTGTCGGCAACCATTTTGGCTTTCCACTAACAATCACACTAGTGGTGACTTTTTTGTCATGTTGACACACCATAATATACACATATCCTGTACTTGATGATCTTGGAGAACAACTTTTAGTTCTTGCTGTATAATTGCTTGCCAGGAAATTTTTGTTGATGTTCATGCTGACAAAATCTCTTCTTTATTGGTCATGAAACACTCTGACGCACTGTCATAGGGTGACGATCATTACAACCATCTTGCTGAATTAGTTTTTTGGAGGTGCCTATCACTTTAGTCGAGAATGCAGTTTATATATCAGTTGGACAACTTTTCTTACTATGAAATTGGTTTTAAGATAAAATCTGATAGTGTTGATATCTCTTGCGTCCTTGAGTTGTCTTTCAGCCATTTTTTATGGAGCACATTTTATGTTTGTGTTGTTTTCTTTCTTTGAGTGATAGTTTGACTGTTTAGAAAATATCTTTATTATATCGTACCATATTTTAGGGTATCTAAGATCATCTTCTTAGAATGGCTTCTAGAGTTTATTATATTTCCAGACTTGTTTATTTATTTGTTAGTATGAGGAGTTCAAAACTAGTGTCAATTGATTTTAATGTTTTGTAATTTACACATACACAAAATGATATAAATAAAAAGCCCCCTTTCTCTCTTAGTCCATACCTAGTTTTGATTTAAGCCTTACAGTTTAAACAACTATTAGTTTTAAATTTTGTAATCTTACACAAATGAGGTTTGACTTCTCTATAATGCATGCATCTAATTTGATACTTTTGTGAATAAGCTTTTTGTCTAGAATTATCATGTTACGTTAAGGGCAGTGAGAGATAATATTGCTATATAACTATAATTACAGAAGACTAATGTGAATTCAAAACTTGCAGGGTTATCAAATGAAGTTCACCATGCTGATGTCATAGCTTTGACAAAGGTGCCTTTTGGTTTCTTTCCCGTTGCATTCCAATGTTTTATCCTATAGCAATTGTTTATGTTGATGTGACAGCTATCGTGCTTGGTACTGCCCCACGAGCATTCAGCATTGCTGCAATCGAAGTCTATCTGGAGTGCAGAAAAATCTGGTGATACATGCTCACCTGTGGAGCATATATTGCATTTGGAACCTATAGAGGTATCCATTCATATAGTATATAATGTAATAAACTGAGATGGAAATGGAAACTAGACGGAGATCGTTGTCCTAGTTTATCTTTGATATTAAGTAGGCTATGTTTTGTATGGTTCCTCCTTATATCAATGTGTTCTTTCTTTTTGGAAGGTAGATATCTTCCGAGGAATCACTCCCCCAGATGCTCCAAAATTTGGAAAAGTATTTGGTGGACAAATAGTTGGACAGGTATGAAAACACCTCGTTATGCCATAAACAGAATTCTACTCATGCTAGCATCACTTTCTAGGAAATGATTTCTTACAAGATAATGTATAATTGACAGGCACTGGCTGCAGCATCAAAATCTGTTGATTGTCTTAAAGTTGTTCATAGCTTGCATGTCTATTTTCTTCTTGTGGGGGATTTTAATAGTAAGTGAGCTTAATCTGAACTTCATTGACAATACTCCCATATAGCTCATTCTTTGTCTCTTTCTACTTTTCTCCCTTGAAAGATTCATTTTCTTTTCTTGGTCCACCTGCTACATTGTTTTGTAAAAGAACCTTTTTCATCTAATTATTTTTGTGATTTAAATTTGCAAATGACAGCTGTTTTTTTAAACAATTGCTGTTCAATGACTTTCTTGCAGACAAATCACACTCCTGGCTTTTTCATGTTTTCATCACCAGTTTCTTTTTACTTCTGTGCATGTTTATAATGGTTGGATGGCTTGTACTGCATATTTGTGCTTAAAAGGAAGTAAGGAATTTGAACTACGTTATGGGTTATTAGCTAAACTCAGTACTGTCAAGTAATTTCCTGTTCTAGAACAATTGCAGGCTCTGAATAGTTCTTGAGTTAGTTTTATCTTGACTTTCTATAGTCATCTAACAAAGTTTCTATTATCTAAGGCTACAAATCATATTTAAGTATATCATCTAGTGAATGGTGTGTTTAAAAGGGAAAAATGTGGGAGTACCAAAAATGAATATGTTAAGATGAACGTGTGGCTACACAAGAAATTACATGAGATGGAAAATAAAATATTACTGTGGCACTATTTGGACTTAAGCGCAAGACAATAGCTCAACCCATAGGAGTAATCCATTAGGTAGGAGAGTCTCAAGGCTTTAGTATCATATCAAGTAGTTCATCCTACTCAATGTATGATAGGTTTCTTGTTAAAGAATTCCTATCTCTCACTCAACAACTCTCGGAAACA